CTATAATCAAACAGACAGATGCTTGTGTCTGGGAGGCTGGTTTGGATGAGTGCAGCATTGGTGGAGTGATGTTGGGTGGGAAAGGGAGGTGTGGGCATAGCAGCGGTCCCAGGTCCTCTGTTCCTCTCTGCAGAGAAGACTTGTTCAGTGGGCCCAGGGCCCAGCAGAACTCTGGTTTAACTTTTCCTTGGTGACTGTGCTGTGATGTGAGTTTAGAGCCACGGTCTTTTCAGGAACTTAGTGGTAAAAGAAAGAGCTCAACCATGTAGGGTCCTGATAGGCTCAGTCCAGACACTGTAGGTGCTGCTGGAGAGGGGGCTCAGTATGGAGGCTCGCGTAGCGTTTGTAGTGTTCGTGGTGTTGGAAACAGATGTTGGTGCTGAACAAAGACACATGCATAGGAGTAAAAAATAACTTAGCAAGGCAATTTCTTTTTCTTGTTTCCTTCCTTCCTTCCTTCCTTCCTTCCTTCCTTCCTTTCTTTTTTCTAAGGATGGGCTGGTGAGCTTACCAGGGCAGGAAGTGCACTGGTTTTTATTCTAATACACGTGATGACTGTGTCTTTCCCCATTGGCTGAAGTCCAACCTCAGAGTATTTTGAGATTAATTAGTTTTAAAAGAATATATGTAAAGGAAGTTAAGAAAATGGGGAAGGGATTGTCTGTTCCAGGCCATCACATTCAGGGAATATTCTGTGTGTGTGCACATGTGCGTGTGTGTTGTAGAAATTAAACATTTTACCAGGTGGAGGGGATTAAAGGATTTTAATTCTCTCTCTCTCTCTCTCTCTCTCTCTCTCTCTCTCTCTCTTTCTGACAGGGTTTCTCTGTGTAGCCCTGGCTGTCCTGGAACTTGCTCTGTAGCCCAGCTCTTGAACTCACAGAGATCTTCTTTCCTCTGCCTCCCAGTGCTGGCATTGAAATCGTGCACCACCACTGCTTGACTAAGATTTTAATTTTCTACATAAAAGTTTTACAAGGTGGGGGAGGTTTATGGAATATTAGCCTTTGGAGGGCAGGCTACCTTTGATAAAAATGAATACAAACACATAAAAAAACCTATTTTTCACAAGTGAGGCCCTGGACTGCAAACAGCTCTGGGAGAACCGAATGGGACTCAGTCATAGAGCATAACAAGTGACTTGGGTTCAAGTCCAGCACTCAAAACAAACACTTAACAAATAAAACTAGAAAGACAGAGGCAGTGGTGCAAGTGGAGAAAGAAGTGACCGAGAAGTGAGGTCCTCACTCCCAGGGCTGCCCAGAAGGCAGATGTGGTATCTGAGGGGAACAGCCTTGCGGAGAGCGATCTAAGGTTGCAGGTAATCCTTGAACTATACAGCTAGCCCTGGAACTCAGGAGGAGCTCACATCAGTTTTGCCTCAGACTTTCTCTCTCTTTTTTGGTAAAGACTTATTTATTTATTATGTATACAGCATTCTGCCTGCATGTATCCCTGCAGGCCTAAAGATGGCATCAGATTTCATCACAGATGGTTGTGAGCCACCATGTGGTTGCTGGAAATTGAACTCAGGACCTCTGAAGTTGAAGTGCACTTACCCTCTGAGCCATCTCTCCGGCCCCTTGGCTCGGACTCTTAAATGGTGTAGTAACATGAGCGGCGGGGCTGCGTTCCCAGCACCCCGGCCGCCCGCCCGGCTAGCTTATGCCCGAAACAACAACACACAAACTGCATTCATTTAAACACCGCTTGGCCCCTTAGCTCTAGCCCTTACAGGCTAATTCTCACATCCCGATCAACCCATCTCCAATAATCTGTGAGCACTGGTCTTACCGGGAAAGGTTCAGCATATCTAACCTGGCGGCTTGCTTCATCGCGTGCGTCTGCCTGGGAGAGCGGAGCATGGCGTCCCTCTCTGAGGTGTCTGCCCCTGAGAGGAGAGCTGTCGAGTCTGAGCTCATATTAATTTAGCCCATTTCTAATCATCTGTGTGTAGCACCCCAAGGTGTGCTTACCGGGAAGATTCTAGCCTATGTCCATCCTGGGTCGGAGCTTCATCCTGGGAGCGGGGCATGGTGTCTCTCTGAGGCGTCTGCCCCCAGAGGAGAGCTGTGGAGTCTGAGCTCACTTCCTCTTCCTCCCAGCGTTCTGTTCTGTTTACTCCTCCCACCTATCTTCTAACCAATGAGGGCCAAGCAGTTTCTTTTTATTTAACCAATGACCTTCCTCCATCAAAATGGTAAGATTACAGGCATTCGCCACCAGCCCGGGTGTTTTGGTTTGTCTATCTGTTGCTAGAATAAAGCACTAACCCACATTAATCTGGGATGGAGGTTGGGACTAGAGAGATGGGTCGGTAGTTAAAGCACTGTTGCTCTCACAGAGGACTGGGTCCTACTTCCAGCAACTACATGGTGACTCACTACCATCTCTAACTTCAGTTCCAGGGGGAGATGAAGCCCTCCTTTGGGCACTAGGCACACATGTGGTGCAAATACACACCAGCAGGCAAAACACTCATACATATTGTAAAACTTTAAGACAATTCTGAAGCCATTTCTGACAATTCTGAACCCTCTCAGCCTCTGTGCCTTAGTGCTTCCCCTCCTCCTCTAGGAACCAAGGACCTAACAGCTACATATGCACGAATGTTCTCCAGAAATTAGGGCAAGATAACCTTTAAGATGTTGACTCAGTTTCTGGACAATTACCCATACACCTATGTTTTGATTCAGTCCCCTGGGAAATGGGGTCAAAATGACCTCTTACCTCATCTGATCTGGTAACAGCTCTCCAGCCAATTATTGGTAACAGCCCTTTTGAATAAGCCAATCATAATAGTCAAAGAACAACCCTCCTTGCTTCTGTGGCCTTCTCCTTCAAAAGTAGCCTGTACCAGCTATTCAAGGTCTTCCGGCTTCCCGAATGCTGAGGGACCCTGTCCTGTCATGACAGAATTAATAAAATCCTCATGCTATTGCATCAGCTATGGTGTGAGGGGTGGTCTCTGGGGTGACTCCTCCTTGGTGTTTGGACTCTAGGGTCCAACAACATCAAACAGTAAATAAATCTTTTAAAAAAATCAACTCAGGGAGCCAAGGGTTTATTTGGCTTCCATTGCCATGCCACAGTCCAGCATGGGGGAAGTCAGGGCAAGCACACCAGGTAACTTTTTTCCAGCTTTGAGGTATGAGCTCAAGGCCTCAATACCAGGCAAGTGTACTGAGCTGTGTCTCCACCTTTTCTTGCTGGGGGAGTAGGACATGACGGTGTTCCCTGTGTCCTCTAACTAGTAGCCTTAGACTTCCGTTCCTCCTGCCTGCACCTCCTGAGGGCTGAGGTCATAGGCGTGAGCTACCACACCCAGTCTGTTTGGTGCTGGGGAGCAAACCTAGGACTTTGTGCTTGCTTGGCAGGCAGTCTACCAACTGAGCTACATCCCTACCGGAAACCTACCTGCCTTATAGAATAACTCTTACTTTACTCCATAGTCTAACCCTAATACAGGCTATAGTCCCAAAGACATTTGATTTTTTTTTTCTTTCGAGACAGCGTTTTTCTGTAGCTTTGGAGCCTGTCCTGGAACTTTCTCTGTAGACCATACTGGCCTTGAACTCACAGAGATCCGTCTGCCGCTGCCTCCCGAGTGCTGGGATTAAAGGCATGCACCACCACTGCCCGGCAAGACATTTGTTCTTTTTTTTTTTAACTTTTTTTTTTTTTAACTTTTTTTTTTTATTGAGAAAAGAGAAAAAAAAAACAAATTTCCTCCTCCTCCCAGCCTCCCATTTCCCTCCCCCTCCTCCCACCCTTCTCCCCCTCCCCCCACTCCTCTCCCCCTCCCTCTCCAGCCCATCTTGCATATCATCATAGAACCTTCATCTGGTGATGGATGGAGACAGAGACCCACACTGGAGCACTGGACTGAGCTCCCAAGGTCCCGATGAGGAGCAGAAGGAGGGAGAACATGAGCAAAGAAGTCGGGACCACGAGGGGAGCACCCACCCACTGAGACAGTGGAGCTGATCTATTGGGAGCTCACCAAGGCCAGCTGGACTGTGACTGAAAAAGCATGGGATAAAACTGGACTCTCTGAGCATGGCCAACAATGAGGGCTGATGAGAACCCAAGGACAATGGCACGGGGTTTTGAACCTACGTAATGTGCTGGCTTTGTGGGAGCCTAGCCAGTTTGGATGTTCACCTTCCTAGAAATGCACGGAGGGGGGAGGACCTAGGACTTACCACAGGGCAGGAAGACATTTGTTCTTGATATTATTTTATTGGCACAACAAAAGACTAGAAAGGGAGGCCAATCCCACAACTGGAAAGAAAATCCATTTTGATGTGAAGGGACTAAGAGACCACAAAAACAAAAGAAAACAAAAAAACGTGCACAAGCTTAACTCAGCACTTGGCATAACTGTTTCGGTTATATTACACATGCAAGCCAGCAGGTGGAAGAGACGAACACCCATATCCTTCCCCTTAATAAACACTGACCACACGTCATTTTAACAAAATGGAATCATAAGCCAGCTTGCTTTTGAGTCACCTTTCGTTGTCAGTAAGTGCTCATCAAACACCCTCGATGTGGGAGGCTCCTGTATCAGTTCACCAACTCCATGCATTTGCTACCCAATTCAGTTCTTTCTAATTCCCTGTTTGTTTTCTTTTTGATGATGCTCTGGATCAAAACCAGAGTCTCCAGGGTCCGAGTCAATTGCTCTATCACTGAACCACACGCCCAGCCCAGCTTCTAATCCTCTATAAAGCATAGACCATGAGCCTCTCGTGCTTGTGCTTGGTAACTTTCCGGGAGCATGCGGTCAAAATTCCTAAGGGACACTTGCCACCCTTTTCCTTTTCCAGGTCCCGGGGAAGCTGCGGGTCTTCCTCCCGCGGTTTTGTGGCAGGGGACCGCCAGGGGGCGACCCCGAGCCGCTGGCAGAGCCAGATTACGCATGCGCACGCCGAGGGGAGCACGTGTGGAGGGCGGCGGAGCGGGAGGGGAAAGGTAGGAGTTGAGAGGTGAAGGGGCGGGGAGCTGCGCGGGCGCCTGGCGGCTGGGAGGGAGAGGGCGGGCTCCAAACACCGGACCGTGGGCCAGGAGCGCGCAGGCCGCGCTCCGCCGCTCTGCCGCCGCTGCCCGGGGAGCTGCCTCGCCGCCACAGGTACCTCAGCGCGCGGCTCCACGGCGCGGCAGGGCCCCGGCTGAGGCCTCGCGCCGCTCGTGCCCGGGAGTTCCGGGATGGGGGCGAGCCCGGGCAGGGACGCGCGGGCGTGGGCGCTGTCCAGCAGCCCGAGGGCGGCTCCGGAGACCGCAGGCTAGCGCTAGGGCCGGACGGTCCTCGCGCGTCCCCTTCCCGACCGCGCCCCCGCCCTGGCGCTCTGCCCGGGTCGCACTGGGTCTCAGGAACCTGCTTTGGGTTGTCTGGGGTTTCCAGAGTGCGAGCTCGATAGCCCCTGTGACTCGGTCCTGCCTCTGCGAAGATCCGATAGCGAGGCAGCGTGTAGCGTCTTCGCTGGGCGTGCTCAGTTTCTGGTTTTCTGTATTGCTTAAACCTAAACTTTGCTCTCTCGTGTTGCTGGTGTTTACTTCCAGGTGGGTTTGTTGCATCAGGGTTATAATGCGATAGCGATAGCTGCAGGGAGCTCTGGGTCTACGCTGCATCACAGAAAGTTGTGCAGATGGAGGCGATGGAGAAGGCAATGAGCCCCCGGGTGGGTGTGGGGGGCGGTTCTGGGAGGAATCTTCGCTACTTCTGCTCGTTTTTTTTTTTTTTTCATCTTTTATGGTGACAGAACTGATGGTTAAACGCTCTTTGCAATAATTTTTGTGAAGTCGACATGGAAACAGTCTTTAATGATGTTATCTTCGTGTGCGTTTGTAGAGTTTGCTTATGCGGTGTGCTGCCATCTCAGGGTGTTGTTTGCTACAGATTGAAGCTTTTATTAGAGAGTCAGGATCAAGTGTGTCTAGTTAGTGCTGAATACGTTTTAGATGCGTGCTGAGTGATGCTTAATTGAAGATTGTATCTTTTTAAGTCTGTATTGTTGTATCTCAGATCTAAAGCGCTCTTTATATATTTGCAGCGTTTCTGCTTTGGCACGCAGTCTTTAGGAAATGACCAAAAGTGTATTACAAGTATAAACGTTATTTCTATAGTTGTTATTTCGTTATTTGGGATGTGGGACTAGGGCATTGGTCTACCACTGAGCAACACCTGTGACTCTTTATTTTGAGCTGGGCTTCGTTGCCCAGTCTGACCACGTTTCATCCTCCTGCCTCAGTTTCCTGAGTATGTGGGATAGCAGATGTGTGTGCCACTGCTCCTGCTCATCAGTCTAAGTTGAAATGGAAGAACTGGACTTACTTGGAACTCATTTGTTGTTGAATACTCTCTCTTTTGCTACTGTGGCAAAAGAAAAAAGGAAGAAAAAGTACCTCTCCAGAGGGTTCTATGTGCTATAGAACCACTGGCTTGGGAATCCCCACCACCAATTTAGATTACTGTCCTGAAGCGGGTCAAAAACTTTATTCTTAGTTTGTGGCTAGAACACAGAACCATAAAAATTGTGATTTGCCTGACGTCATATGTAAGCTGCTTCACAGTCCAGTTGGGAAAAAAACCGTGACTGCTGTACATATGTATTTAATGTGGGTGGTAAACTTTAGGGTGCCCACAGTTCAGGATCACTTCAGATGAATGTGTCTCAGGGAGCCTAGGAGACTTGGGATCATGTGCTGTTTGCTCACGCTGCGTTATCCATTTGTTGGCTCTGACATGTCTGGTACGTGTGGTTTCTGCTATCTCTCCCACTGAGCCAGTTGCTTCCAGCTTGTACATGGAGGATCAGGCCTTCAAACCACATCTCCAGACGGCCACATGAGCTCCTGCCCCTGTAACTTACTACCATCCTGAGTTTGCTGAAGAAACAAGATCAGGTGACTTTTGCCACCTAAAGTGATACTTCTGGGGACTATTGAGTTTTTTGAGTGCTTGTGCTGTTGGGCACTGTGCTCAGGGCTCCTGTGTTAGCTTCTCAAGTCCCATGTGAACAGATGGCATGATAGTGTTAGCTCTTTTCTGGGTGAATTTCGGGCAAGTTTTCTCCCTGGCCATGGGTCACTAGCCAGTTAGGGGTTAAGCTTGTGTGCAGACGTGTGTGACTGACCACAGTTGTGTTTTCCTGTTGCTTCACCCACTGACTTCACAGTCTCCCTGTTCGCTGGGAAATGGGAGATAACAGGAGGTGATGTGAGTGGCGGGAAGCAGCCCCTGTCGCGGAGCTGAATCTGAGCTGGCAGATTGCAGTAAGACAGGGCTCTTGTTTCATCATCATCGCCACTCTACTTGCTATACTTTTCTCATTTTTAAAAATGTTTTAATTTGGGCTAGAGAGATGTCTCAGAGGTTAAGAGCACTGACTGCTCTTCCTGAGGTCCCGAGTTCAATTCCCAGCAACCACATGGTGGCTCACAACCATCTGTAATGAGATCTGGTGCCCTCTTTGGCGAGTAGGCATATATGCAGACAGAACACTGTATACATAATAAATAATAAAAATCTTTAAAAAAATGTTTTAATTTGTGGAAAATAATACATAACATAAAATTTACAATTTTAGTGATTAATGTAGTAGTTGGGAATATTAAATATACTCACAATACTGTATAGCTGTAATTACTATCCATTTCCAGAATTTTTATATAATTCTACACAGAAACTGTCCCCACTAAACAGTCCCTTCATTTCCCTGTCTTCCAGTCCTGGCAAACTGTGTTCCACTCTCTGTGAGCTTGCTTATGATAATTTCTGTCATCTGAAGGAAGTGTAAAGTATACATTTAGATTTTTATTTTATATATATGAGAGTTTTAATTGCGTGTGTATGTGTACCATATTTATGCCTGGTGTCTCCAGAGGTCAGAAGAGGGTGTCAGTATCCCTGGAACTGGAGTTAGGGATGGTTGGGAACAACTGTGTGGGTGCTGGAAACCAAGCCCTGACCCTCTGCGGGAACAAGGCCTTTCACTGCTGGCCATCTCTCCAGCCTCATGTATTTCTCCCTGTCTGTTTCCTTTCACCTTGTTTCCAGGGTTCATCATGTATTGTTTATTATGTCTCATTCTTTTTTCAGATTGAATTACATTACTTTGTATGTATATTCACATTTTTTTTTCAAGACAGGGTTTCTCTGTATAGCCTGGGCTGTCCTGGAAATCACAGACCAGCCTGGATTTGAACCTGCCTGTTTCCCCAAGTGCTGGGATTAAAGGCAATGCTAAAGATCCACATTTTAAGAGAAATCTATTCATCTTTTAATGAACATTGGAGCTATTTCTGCCTTTTGGTTATTGGGAATGATGATGTTAGGGACATGGTGCACAATTAATTATCATCAGAAGACTGAGAATATTTAGTAATACCATTATACAGATATATCTTTGAATTCTTGCTTTTAGCTCCTTATATATTTTCTGCATGCCCACTTGGATATACAGTTGTCCCTCAGAATTTATAGAGGATTGAGTTCAGGATCCCCATTAGGCACTAAAATCTGTAGGTTTTTGACAGTTTTTCTATAAAATAGCATAAAATTCATATATGACCTGCCCAAATCCTTTCTTATACTTTAAATGATCTGTAGGCCATTTGTGCCATTTCTCATAAATGATATTTAAGCTCTTTGCACATTTTTAGATTTATTTATTTTTATGTATACGGATGGGTATTTTGTCTGTATGTTTGTTTGTGCGCCACATACATGCAGTGTCCAAGGAGGCAGAGGTGTGTCAGAACCTTTGGAGCTGGATGTGAGTTGCCATGTGAGTTATTGGAAACAAACTGTGGTTTTTAGAAGAGTAGTCAGTGCTCTTAACTGCTGAGCCATGTCTCCACCTTCTAGATTTAACTTATGTTATTTTTAATTACAAGTAGATGTTTGTGTCTGTGTGTGGGTCTGTTCTCATGAGTGCAGAGGCTCAAGGAATCTAAAAGCTGGAGTTGGAGTCACAGGTGTTTGTGAAGCACCTGATGTGAGTCCCTGCAGAAGCAGTGCACACTTGTAACGACTGGAGAGCTCTCCTGCCCGCTTTGTGTGTTTTTAAATTGTGCTGAGTTCTCTTGTTGGGTTATAAAACTTCTTAATATACTTTAGATGTTAATTCTTTGTCAGATAAACAATTTGCCGATACTTTCTCCCATTTTCTAGATGTTCTATGTTCTTATAGAGCACCTGAGTTTGGTTACTGCACCCACCTAGTAGCTCATAACTGCCTATAACTCCAGCTCCAGGGGATCCAGTGCACTCTTCTAGATTCCACAGGCACTGAATTCATGTGTACCCTCCCCTGTGTATTGACAGTTGTGTAAAGAAACAACATTTTGTTTTGATTTTTGTTATAGGGTTTCTCTGTGTATCCCTAGTTGTTCTTGAACTCATTCTGTATGCCAGACTGATCTTGAATTCAGGAATCTGCCTGTTTTTACCTCCTGAGAGCTGGAATTAAAGGCCTCTACCACCATACCAAAGAAGCAAAAATCTTTGAAAAAAAAAAAAAGAAGGAAAAAGAAACGGCCAGCCTGCTCTACAAATCCAGTTCCAGGACAGCCAGAGCTGTTACACAGAGAAACCCTTTCTTGAAAAACAAACAAAAGAAAGCGAAACAAATTAAAGACAAGAATATACCTGATATTGACCTGGTTTTCCACACAGAGTGGTCCCTATGAATTCATTTGCAGCACCTCAATACTCATGTCCATATTCATATATTATATACACACATATGCAAGGAAATATGATTGTATTTTACAGTCATGTCATGTGGAATAGAACTAATTTTATTTTTGCCTTTTGACTTCAGATACCTAAGGAGAAGAGTGGGTGAGGAGGGGGAGAAGAATTTTCCCATTGTTTTGGTTGGTACCTTCAGTATGATATAACATAAAAGTGGCAAAAATGGGCATCCTTGTTTTGATTTTGGGAAAAGCTTCAAGTCTTTGTTTCATTCACCTGCTGAATATGACTTTTTTTTTTTTTTGAGACAGGGTCTCACTACGTGTGTCCTGGAACTCCCTGTGTAGACCAGACTGACCTTGAACTCAGAGACCTGCCTGCCTCGCTTCCTGAGTGCAGGGATTAAAGATGTGCGCCACCAGGCTGGGCAG